TTTTTACAAGAGGCACAAAGTGCAAGCACACGGGCAAAAGAACGCTGCCTTGTCGCGGGGCATAAGAACGCCCTCCATCATCATAAACGGGCGTTCACTCTTCCTTACTCAGGGACCCCAGGCGGACCCTATTATATGGAAAAAAAGGATTTGGAATGCATGAGGAAAAACAAAAAACAAAAAGCAGTTAACCTGGGGTGGGGGATCCGAGATTGAAATCCGATTTCGACTTACCACCGCCCAGATAGGAGCTGACACGCCAGTACTGACGAAGCCGCCAAGGGCATACAAGATTTGGTTGTTCCATTTTTGGTGATCGGCTGAGTCTGTCTCAACGGATCTGTAATCGAGCAAAAGAAGGCCAAGTCAGCTACGACGCCCCCTTCCCAAAGGAATGGTGTGAAGAGATGATGTGCGTGAGTGAGACTGACATGGTGCCGGGACCTTTGGTTTTAATTCTGAAGCCTTTCAATTGGACGTAACCGTACTTTCCATCGCTCACGAATTGTATGGTTTGTCGAACATCTATTTATCAATGGGATGGCACGGTCAGTCACGATTTTTTTGTGTTCATTTCAGTTGGGGGGGTTCCGGAATTGCTGCACAAATCGGAGCAAGCGACTAACCTAGATGGAAATTGTTTTTCTTGTCCCAGTACCCTTGCTCTCCACCGATGTTAGGAAGAACCTTGGCAATTACGTGTCCCTTCGTATCCGTCCAATTCCCTCTGTGTAGAGGCAAGAAGAAATTCAGCAACTCTAGTAGTTTCACTATCCCTCAAAAAAGACATACCCGAGAAACCTGACGCTGACCCTTTGCGTCCCAGAAATGTTGACGGGATGGAGTTTTTTGAACTCGTAATCGAAGTTCAGGCGTCCCCAATACTCATATGGGAGGAGGGGTTCACTCGCGGGATCAGACAGCAGCCCCAAGTTGTTCGCAACTAAACCCTGATCAACCTCGAATGGTGAAGGGGCAGTAGAGCTGAGACCGATGTATGCAAGAACATGTAAAATAGTAGAGAAGACCATCTCTCTATCGCGAAGCTTAGTAGAGCGGGGGAGGGGATGAACTATGGACAAGAAACACCCTTTCAACGGGGCGCATTATAGCGATGGATTAAATTGATGATCTGGAGACTCGTCTCCGACGCTGACGACCAGCCTGAGGGTCAAACCCTTCAGCAGAAAAAAAAAGTGTATGACAAATCCACAAGTAGACACTTGTCCGATGTCACATTTGCGGGATCGACATCCCACAGCTCCTTTTTTCAGTAAGGGTGGCAACGATCCGGCACTCGTGGCCACTGGGGTTATTTCTCACCCTCCCCTTATGTGAAAAGAACAGAGTGTGTGATGCAGGGACCAAGGCTGGTGTCCTGTCCATTCGCTGCAGGTCCAGTCAACTTGCGCGGCCGCCACGGCAAGCGGGTACTTGAATGCATTAGTAGGGTAACTCTGGCAGCGCAAGATTTTGGGATGTTTGCATTTAAGAATCAACCTGGGGCGACCGCAACGTCATTAAACTAGACTAAGGATAGTGAAAGAAACCCCCACCGTCGTGCTAAGCAAATGTAGACAACATCAGCAAAGTCGGGTCACAGATTCTCACGGGTCGCCGATCGCACTATGCAAGTTACTACGCTCACAACCTCTTACTTACGACTGTCTCAACCTAGATAACCTTGGGTGCCAAATCCACATTCCTCCCGCCCCTTATTCTTCGTATCTCCCTTGCTTCAAGTCGTATTACTACACCCTCCTAAGCGGTCAGTTGATGACATGAACTGAATTTCGTTCTATCAACAAAGATTCCAAAGGGTTAGTTTCAGTTCAACAGCGTTTATTGTTCGTCATGTGTTCATTTAGGATCTATGTGTTGTGTGTACAGTGGGGGCTATGTCATGGATCACTGTGGCCCAAGTCATTTTTGGTTTCTAAGCGTTATACCCCTTACCAAGGCAGGCTTCGTTTCTGCCATCCTTAGCGCAGGCTACCACGTCGAACTTGCTGGGGGAGGTCATTACAATGCTGCTGCTGTTCACGCTAAGGTTGCCGAGGTCCAATGTATGGAGTTGGTATCACTTTGAATTCTTTATACATCAACCCCCGCCAGTTTGGATTCCAAGGCAAGAGCTGAAGCGCGAGGGCTTGCCCATTGGAGGTCTCTGCGCTGCTGCGGGTATTCCTAGCACTGAGAAAGCTGCTGAAATCATCGATGCACTTCGCGTCGCTGCTTCAAGTCCTCATTTCCTTGTCATTTTGCAGTGGACTGGCGGTCGTGCGGGTGGGCACCACTCCTGTGAGGACTTCCATCAGCCTATCATATGGTGCCATTCGTCAGCAACACAACATTTCGCTTATGGCTGGTTCCCGGTTTCGGAGACGCTGAGAGTACATGGCCGTATATCACTGGTGATTGGTCCGTGGAAGGGTGTGGCGTCCAGCCAATGTCTTTCGGTGGTATTCTCTTCGCTTCGTGGGTTATGATAGCCAAAGAGGCGCACACATCCGATTCTGTTAAGGAGCTTATTGTTAAGGCGGGAAGGGACGTACCAGAAGGAGACCGGTGGCATCCTTACTGTGCAGTCCGAGCTCGGGGAGCCGATTCACAAAATTGCGACTTGTGCCGTTCGGCTTTGGAAAGAGTTTGATAATACTGTGTTCAAGTTGCCAAAGGAGAAGCGTGCGGCGTGGCTGGAGCGGAATGAGGATTCTGTCATCGAGAAGCTTAATCGCGATTCCAACAAGCCTTGGTTTGCGCAGAAGAAAGATGGGGAGGTCGTGAGGGATCTTGGGGATCTGACTATGAGGAGACATTTGTCTGATGTACATCGAGCACCAGAAGAGGTGGATCGACCTTACGCTGCGAAATCCCCTTGGAGACTGGCTCCGTCGTGTCGAGGAGCGATTCACGGGAGTCAATGGCACGCCGAAAGATCGATTCTGCAAAGTTATTCATCGCTTGGTGAGCCTGAGGTTTTCTTGAAGACGTTCTTTGAGATATATTCCGAATCTCAAGAGCAGTTAAAGGATACTTGTCGATTGCCCAACGGCCTGGTCAGAAGCCAGTACCTTTCATTCCTGATCTCGATGCTGGATTCGAAGTCTGGTTCAAGAAGGTGCGTACTCCCACTTTTCTTTTGAGTGTACCGGGGTATGAACTCTGCCGCTCTCAGGACTCTCTTTGGGCAGCGGAAGACATCTTAGATCAAGATCATCGACGTGTCTGGATTCTCCAGGGTCCCGTTGCCGTCAAGCATGCCAAGATCGCTAATGTCCCTATCAGGAATATGCTTGGTGGTGTCCAAGATGCAGTCAACGTAATTCTAGTTGTCAGTGCAGGGAGAAGAGAGGGCTGCTGATTCCAAAGTCCCTGGTCCGACAGTTCCCGGTAAATTCGTGCCAATAGAACGGGCAGAAAGGGTGGGGAGCCCGCCACATACATAGGAAGCGGGGAAGTTTTTCAGCAAGCCAGCGTGGCCTTGGCCTGCCACACATCCTGCCATGCAAGCCAAGCAAAGGGTATCCCTGGCCGAAAACAGCTTAATTCGCTAATGTATATTTAATAAGTAGATAGGCCCTGGAACCAAACCCAAGGCCGATCACGTTGTTGCTCGCAACAACTTGCTTGTTCGCCTTCACCTCATCATCTCACCTATCGACATTTCGTACAACCTGGATCTTGTATCTCCAAATCCTCACTGTTTCAAACGAGACAGATGGCGTTAGATGTGCCTGTCCAGGCGCTTTCAAATGCCATTGGTCTCATGTGGAACGGTTTAGAGATTGGTTCGTACCACAAGAAGGGAATAATGAATCCCCAAAGTCAACACCTGGACGACAGTGGGACTGGGATCCCTTTCCTCGTTGTCAAGCAATCCTGCAATAACCCGGCCATGAATCCCTGGATTTTGTTCTGTCTATGTCTAGAAGGAAACTTCAGGCATTCCCCCAAAGTCTATAGTAATGGGAGTGGGATGAGAAACAATTGATCTGATACCGTGAAATTCTGTCGAAGCAAGTTTCCTTGCTAAGTGCTAGAGGGCAATCCTTTTCGATTGCAGGAGCGAGTGGATAGAGCCCCTTAATGGCCGATAATTCTATGACTCCTGCTTTGCGTTCTTTGTGCATGTTGACCTCTTGACAAACTTCGTACATCTGAGTCTCATGGTTGAGCTGTGGAGGGATTTTCGAATACCACAAGACAACAGCATACTTTATTGCAGTTGCGTCAGGATGTTGCAAACACTTACATGGTCGGATAATGAGGCGTACCTCAGCTGGGTGATAACCTGACATATTTTGTAAGCCTGAACTCATGAGGTCTGTGAACTGCTTACGATGGATCCCTGAGAGCGTGGGATTGACTTCAACAATGATGGGAGTGAAGCGGGAATTTGCAATATATGGAGGTGTACTCCTCAGGTGAATGATTGTTGATTGGGGCAACGCAGACTCGAACCCAGCCGTCTCCGCTTCGTGGACGCGCACTGCACAATGTTAGAAAATAATTAAGTACCCCTTTGTATTACAATTCAGAAATCACGTTATCCGGACAAATCCGCAATCAATACAGACCACCCCAATACAGTTATTAATACAAATAATAAGTCACATGTAACGGGGTTAAAGAGTTCATGTCCGATCATCTACTCCGAAAACCAGCGCGCGACACTTCGCTACGACGACTGGTTCACTATGGCAGTGGCGGTGCCCACCGGCAAACCCCGAAACAACTCTTGGGTCTCAAAAAGGAATCTCCTAGAAGCGCCAAACCCGCCCCCTGCTCCTTCACTGTCTTTAACACCATGGACTCACCCACAGATCGTGCAACAGATGTAATTAATTGCATGTTAACTAATGGGTTCACTCTCATGTCTTTTCTGTCAACAATCTTGACTTCCTCGGGCTTTGGTGACATACTACGCAAAATTCAGGTCCAGATTCTCAATCCTGAGCCTGAGCTTGGCAGCACAGCGATTGTGAGAAACTGGATCCTTACAAGTGCTCAAGCAATTTATGCGGAAGAAATACAAGTACTGATGGAAAAAGAGAGTGCAGAGCATAATGTCTCTCTGAGTAATTGTAATTCCCCTTCAACTGCCTTCCTGCGCTAATATGATCCCCATCATCACCCTCATCTCTCCTGCTGCCCATCTCTGCACTCAGAGGTGCCGGCTTCGCCCAGCACCTTGCCCGTGTCTTGCTTTCCACAGTAAGTAAGTGATTAATCAGGGCCCAAACTGCTGGTGCCTTGGATTCGAATAGTGACTTCAGCGTGCTAATTCTTCCATCTTCAAGCTGTGCCGGATGCAGGTGGGCAGCATTCATGTGAAGCCCACTCTCTTTTTCCATCAGTACTTGTATTTCTTCCATGTAAATTGCTTGAGCACTTGTAAGGATCCAGTTTCTCACAATCGCTGTGCTGCCAAGCTCAGGCTCAGGATTGAGAATCTGGACCTGAATTTCGCGTAATATGTCACCAAAGCCCGAGGAAGTCAAGATTGTTGACAGAAAAGACATGAGAGTGAACCCATTAGTTAACATGCAATTAATTACATCTGTTGCACGATCTGTGGGTGAGTCCATGGTGTTAAAGACAGTGAAGGAGCGGGGGGCGGGTTTGGTGCTTCTAGGAGATTCCTTTTTGAGACCCAAGAGTTGTTTCAGGGTTTGCTGGTGGGCACCGCCACTGCCATAGTGAACCAGTCGTCGTAGCGAAGTGTCGCATGCTGGTTTTCGGAGTAGATGATTGGACATGAACTCTTTAACCCCGTTACATGTGACTTATTATTTGTATTAATAACTGTATTGGGGTGGTCTGTATTGATTGCGGATTTGTCCGGATAACGTGATTTCTGAATTGTAATACAAAGGGGTACTTAATTATTTTCTAACATTGTGCAGTGCGCGTCCACGAAGCGGAGATGGCTGGGTTCGAGTCTGGGGGCAACGGCAAGACGAAAATAGGTCCAAACATCAAGGTATTGGAATGATGATGGCAATTGTTCAATGTTATATTCCCATATGCATGCTGAAGTACCATTGTCACCTAGTTCCAGCATCCGACAAATAGCTGAACCTAGATGTGGAACAGAAAACCTTTGCGCAAGCTCGGAAGTATGCATTGCATACATATGTGGTTTATGTGAGATTTTAATGTGTGCTGAATATAGTTGTGTTGTGAGGTGGGACACCTCAGCTTGGCTTGTGTCTGTTGCCGATGATGCAGAATGAGGGTTGGTAGCATGGATCTTTAAATTGATCAGTACTCAAGACAACCTTCCCATACAGGAGATTTGCTCTTACCCCAACCTGGTGCTGTTCATAAAGCTGGTGCAGACTGAGATGGTGGATGTCAAGATAATTTGTTGATCAAAGTTGCATCGATTAGATGCTTTATATGGGTTTTTGCACATCTGGATATGCAGTGATTTGGGAGTTTCAGTAGAGAAGTTGTCAGGAACACCAAGTTGGTATGAGTTTTCAATATAATGGACAAGAGCGTGCAACTTTGGGATTCTAAGGTGTTCTTTTGCTCCCCTCATGCCACTCTGAACGAAAATCCCCTTATGGGCATGGAAACTTCCCAAGTGTGCAGCCATTGTCTCTAGATTGGCTTCCAAGACATATGGGTAGTGTGCCATGAAGATGTAATCAACAAGTGATCGGATGGCCACAAGAACCTTTCTGTCAGTCTTCTCATATCCAGCAATGATACAAATGATATATCGGAGGAATGTGCGATGCTCCCACCTGGTTGCTTGAGAAATTTTCATGATTCCATCTATGAAGTTGTGGAAGCCTAATTGTGGTTGAGCTTTGAAGTGGCAATCCAATTCTTCCTCCCCAATTATGTGTATGAGCCATTCAGTGACATGATCCCAGACAAATTTGTAACAGCCATGCAGGAGAGCTTGTGTCAGGAATACCTCAGGACCAACAGGAAGGCCTTCCCAACAAAATTCCTTGACTGCACCTGATAGCCCGCTTTCCCACTTCTTAACCTCCCTCTCAAACTCATATGCCAAAGCATCAGGGAAAAGTTCATGTATGTTGTGTGTTTCTTAAAGTAATATGAGATTGCTAGCAAAGCGGGGCAACTCAGTCTCAAGCAAATAATGCAAAAGAGAACTGAGGGAAAAAGTGATTCAAAGAGCGGTAATTCCCATGTAGTTTGGGAGCAGGATAGTCCGAAATGAATACAAAAGAATGAATAAATAGATGTGGCTGGCCAGGCGAGTTCCTCACTCGGCCGTGGGAATGTGGCTGTACGAAAACTCGCATGGCCATGCTAGCGCGCTGTTTTCCAACATTTCTCTCAAAGTGGACTCAGCAGTATGAAGGGTGTGGCTGGTAGCATTGACCCATGAGTTGAGGTCTTGGTGGGATGTTGTACAGACTGGTGTAGGAGAAATAATATTTGAAGAATAAAACAATGACATATCAGAATAGTCAGCAATCAGCTGACAAGTTCAAATGTTTAACAGATCTCATGGTCTTTATGAGACTGGATGCACATTAGAAGCTCATTGTAGTCAAAAACTTCCATTGGAACATACTCCATCTTTGTCAGGGATGCGTCCGGGGTCGAGGGGGCCCGGGTGTAACACCCGGTGCTGAGGCCATCACGAGGTGTAGAGCGGGCATGCGTAGTGATGGGCCCGATCCAGGACGACAATCCCTGGCCACTCAGACTGAAGTGGGAATTGTGAGAAGAAGGTTACTTCTTCGGTTCCCACCCCAGGTACTTTTATGTACATGCGGCTTGGGTCACATGAGGTTTGCCACGTCACCCCGCATACAGCCACAGTCATCCGGGTGTCCCCACGGGGGATCCCGAGGGTGAGCGCTGCATGTGCGCATGCTGGGTTGCACCGTGAGGCCGTCCGGGTCGTCCGGGGCTGGGTGCGTCATGCATGCATCGCGGGTGGGTTGATAATACATAGATAAGGGGAAATGTCGTCTGTGTGGATAAAGATAGAAGAAAGGGCAAGAGAGCAAAAGAACAGAAAGACAAAAGGAAAAACATGAAGTGAGAAACAGTGCTGAAGAGTGAGGAGTGGAGGTGGGCAGGGTACTGGGTGAGGGTGGGTGGAGCCGGGTCAGGCGGGTCTGCCTTGACAATCTTTCCATCCAGATTGGACCATTGGAATATATAGTGAGCACACTTGATGAGGTCATGATAATAAAATGTTTGTAGCTCATTTGGGGCATCTGGTAACATGACGATCTCGGATTTCCATGCTGGTGGGCCAACTGTATCCTTCACCATATTGTACATTACTTTGGTGGGTGGAAAACTTGGCAGAGTAGCATGATCTTTGACCTAACTGGAGTTGAGTCTCATTTCACTTAATACTGAAGGATGAACTTGACATACCCACTCTAATGTTAGGAAATCATTGATATCACTGCGCAACAACTGGTGTGTGCTCAACCAATGGAAAAGCTCCCACTCTTTCTTTGATGTTGCAAGTGGGAAAGGAAGGCAAGACCACAGTAAAGGGCTCACCTCTCTCCAGCTGCTCCCTCAACAAAGGGAAAGAAGAAGGGGGTGGAAAGGGCACCTAGGGTTTCAGACTCACTGTGACCCCGGTCCCAACTAACTCAGCCTAAAAATCTCAACACTAGGTGGACCTCCCTGGAAGACAAGCTAGCAGTACTGCCTGAAAAGCACTGTCCCCAAGACTACAAGCACTCAGACACCACCCCAGGCACACGGACCTAGTACTTAGCAGAGCAGAGGGGAGAATCTCTGTATCATACTAGATACATCTTGTATATAAACCCAAGTTATACTGAGCTAATGTCCGAGCAATCCGACGGTGTTAGGGATGGATAGAAATGGACAGAACAACATAGAACAAAGAAACAACAGAAAACATAAAAATATATAGGAACGGCCACACAATCGATAAACTCCGACGATCTCCACAACGGCTGCACCAAATCTCCCGATATTTGACTCGTTCTACTTGTCTTGATGGTAGCTTTCCAACAATACCAAGTGCGTCCGGATCGGAGAAGAACTGGGGGAGTTATGGTGAAAATACTGTGAAAGCGGCCCAGGTGGGCCGTAACCTGGTCTGAAAAATTATCAAAAAATACAACAATGATAGGGGAGGTTCTGAGGAAATTTGTATCCGGTGCGACTACTGGACTTATCCGGAGCTCCAAATTCTTATGATGTAAACCAGCGTGACTGGACAAATGACATAAAATGGACAAGCCTGGTATCGAACCCAGGACTTCTAGCGTGCATCCATACACTACTCGCCCGTTATGCCAGGGGGGGGTACCCCTTCCCTGATGGTTTGGGAGATCACTTGATCCCTTCCTCCAACAGGTTCAACGAGCTTTGAGGGACTGGGGGACTGTGTGTCAGGCACTAGGTAATGTCTGTAGGCCATGATATAGCAGTGTCAGGGTACTACCAGCTTTTCCCTCCTTCAACATCCAAGGTGCATATGGCTGGCCAGCCTTCTCCTGATTTTGAAAGCATTCCCACAAAGTCTCCCGATGTCTGGGGAAGATGAATTCAGCATTTCCTTCATCATGTATGACCCAGAACCTCTGCCCACTGGCATCGAGTGTGCTGCCCATTGTCGGGGACGGGATGTGGGACGAAGGAGAAGTCCCCGTGGTGGAGGGCTTTGGCCTCAGCGACTTAGACCAGGAGCGCTGTGCCTAGTTACACGTCCATGCCCTAATTTACTAACTCGCAATGAGAACTTAGAAGGGGGAAACTCTAGTCAATTTTATCACTGGGGTGTAACCTATCTACAAGTTATGTATATATAGGGCAGGCCCATGAATGGCAGGACTGAGCAGAGTGGAGCTAATGGAGTTAAATGTTAGCTGACTGAATATTACCAATGAGTCAGGTTATGGGGTTAGTGGAGTGGCAGGCTATAACCCAGAAACGGAAAGGAGGGATCAGCCCAAAGGTAGGCTTGCAGGGCAAGCAAGTGAATTGCCCAGCAGAGGTGGGAGTGCACTAGCAGATGTCGGAGCTGTCTGGAGGCCTTTGGGAATCTGTCTTAGGGAGGTGTAGGTAATATATTGGATTGAGGGGGTGGTGACCATTGAGGGAGTTGGAGGTGATTGCGGAATATGGAGGCTCTGAGGTTAGTGACAAAGGAGCGGAGGTAATCTGGAGGGACCAGAGGTAGTGGAGGATGATGGTCGTAGATGGATATGACACCCATGTCAACCTGGCTATTAGCACTGTCCAATCTGGCTCCTGGAGAGCCATTCGGTGTGTTGAAATCCATACTCAATGTCCATATTTTGTGGATCTGATGTACCTTGTGTTGCCAGAGGGAGTCCCTCATGTTGTGAGTCCCGATGACTTGTTTGTTTTGTAAGTAACTTGATCTTCTGAATTTTTTTCTTGTGACATGATGAGTTCTCCAGATATGGTTGGCAATGCCACCACCCCATTTGGGAAAAGGAAAGGAGCAATATGGGCATTTTTTGGAATTAACTGCATTGAAGAGTGGTGGTAGTGAGCCATAATTTCTTATGGAAAATAGGGGATTCGCTGGCAACTTGTGAGTGACCATTAAATACTGTGGAAAACTGTGCAGTTTAAAGTTAAAAATTCAGTTTTCAACATCTTTCCTCCAACCTCACACTCAGGACACATTGGCCCAGTCAAATTCAAGTAACAATAAGCCAATGGGGCCATTGGTGGTCACTCATGGCTCTAAGGGTATTGTAAAGCCTAAAGTGGATCCCCTTAATGCAGAAGGGCCTGTGATACCGCCAAAAGAGTCTATCACAATGTTGAAAAACTGGTCCCTGTCAATGAAGCAATCTTGGGCACATCGTAAAGCAGAGGCTAATTCATTTCCTGAGGGTAGCAAGCACCCTGATTCTCTAACTGCCCTTGATGGTGTAACCAGTAGGGTCACAGGGACTGTGAAAGAGAAGCAAGGGTCTACTTCATTTAAGGTAATCTACACTCTGACTCATTGATACGCCACTCATTTAGGGATTGTAGGCATCTCAAGTGACAAAGGAATCAAAGCAAAAAGGTGACATCAGTTTATGCTCATATATAAAAGGAAATTCAACCTGTGAGCATGCTCTGCACATTTCATGGCCATTGTCTTAATCTTCCCCCATAAAAGTGCCACCCACGTTGTAACAGGGATTTGCCGGTGTACCCTAAACAAGCCAAATCCCGCGATTCTACCACCCTCAGCAAGCACCTCACATCCATCACATGGAGCCTATATCCCCTCACACTCTTTACACACATTTCCTATTTTTCCTAATTTTTCTGATTCCATTTCCGATGTCTAGAGGCCAATGTTTCCATTTTCTTATTGTCATGTGATATTCTTTCCTATTTTGTCTATCGGACTCTTCCGTGACCCGCTGTACAGCTAGCTAGAGAGTATTAGCACCACACTCTAGAGGACCAATATACCACCTCTTACCTGACCTCAGTGAGATTTCTATCCCCCCTCCTTCCTGTTGCGAGTCTAGTTGGATAGACCCGTTACAACGTTCAAGCACCAACATCCAACATCCAACACCTGAAACCTTTGCCTCTGTGATGGGTCCCTGGGTTTGTGCATTGTGATGCCAGTGTCTTGTTCACTGCACTTACTTTCCTTGTAGTCAAAGCCCCATTTCTTCCCGGAAGTAGTTGTTTCTAAGACTGCTAGTGTTAGAACAGGGCGAGTGCAGATGATTCCAGAGTGGAACTGGAGACTTAGCAAGGAGGGACCTTGGCCTCAGTGACTCAAGGGGAGTGCTGTGCCATGGCTGTTTGTCCTGTTGGTCCTTAATTTCAGATATAGTGGAAAGGAAGTCTCTAGGGGTGGCTGAGTACACCGTTTTATTCTTATTAATTCACTTAACTTACTAGCGGTCAATATTGTTGCCGCTGATCCACTCCTACATTGACATTTGGTTTATTCCTATATTGACATTTGATTTATTTGTCATATCCATCTACAGCCATCATCCTCCACTCCCTCTGATCCTTCCAGACTACCTCCGCTCCTTCGTCACTAACCTCAGAGCCCCCATATTCTGCAATCACCTCCAACTCCCTTGATGGTCACCACCCCCTCAATTCAATATATTACCTACGCCTCCCTAAGTACGGAACCCCAAAGGCCTCATGAGTGAATCGGGTGCAGCCAAACGGCTGAGGAACTAAAGTGGTGGCAGGAAAGGAGGGGGTGCCGCTATGGGGCCATAGACAGGAACCACTATTGGCACCGCTGCATGATGGACAATGGCATGAATAATGGGTGCAAGAATGGTGGTGGGGTGCAGGTGATAGAAGTGGTAAAGGTGGGGACTTTGCGGGGCCATGACAATTAGATCCTCAGTCTAAAATCAACCAGAAATGCTGGACAGCTCCGACGTCCGCTAGCGCACTCCCGCCCCCACTGGGCAATTCACTAGCTTGCCCTGCAAGTCTACCTTCAGGCTTATCCCTCCTTTCTGTTTCTGGGTTAAAGCCCACCACTCCGCTAACCCCATAACCCAACTCGTCAGTAATATTCAGTCAGCTAACGTTAACTCCATTAGCCCCGCTCCACTTGGTCCCGTCATTCATGGGCCCACCCTCGCTGTGACTATATATACATAACTTGTAGATAGGTTACACCCTAGTGATAAAATTGACTAGAGTTAATCCCCCTTTTCAGTTCTCGCTGCCAGTAAGTAAATTAGGGCACAGATGTGTAACTTGGCACAGCGCTCCTGATCTGAGTTGCTGAGGCTGAAGCCCTCTGCCATGGAGATGTATCCTTTGTCTTGCATCCAGTCTCTAACAGTATTTTATCACTCCCTGACAGTACACATCTTGTATGGCACCCAAAGCCCCTTGCACTCGTTCGCAACTATGCACATTGGTTCCTGACTCAGCCTCACCTTCTCCCGAACCCTCGCAGCCTGGTCCTAGTCCTCTGGCAAGAAATCCAGTTGAGTTTCGCAGCTTCTCTAATTTAGAAACCCCTCTCCTGTCAACTCTGATCATGCACCCCATTAGAAATTGATCACCAGTTGCAGATTCCGACTTTGGAGACACCACTGAACAGCCCATAGATCCAGTCCACTTCTTTGGACTCGGCTCCGAGGTCCCCGACTTCATCGACCCTCCTCCTGCTGACTATCCCTACTGTCCCAGCTGTTAGAACTGAGCAGATTCGGACGACTCCGGAGTGGAATCGGAGACTTAGCATGGAAGGACCTCGGCCTCAGCGACTCAGGCGGAGCGCTGTGCCATTGCTGGTTGTCCTAGGGGTCCCTAATTTCGGATCTAGCAGAGGGAAAGTCTCTTGGGGGGAATTCAGGTCGATTTCGGACTGAGTTTACAAGTTACTAGGTACATTGTATATAAGGAGGGGTCCAGAATCAAAAGGAACAAGGGTAGGACAAAAGGAGACAAAGGGAGATGGAAAGAGGGACAACACCGAGGGTCAAGTGTTTGACTCAATGGTGTTTCCCAAAGGAGGAATGAAGGGCCAAGGCCCAAGGAGGAAGGAAGGAGGATGGGAGTCAGGAATGGCTAGCTGACTGAATAGAAGGAAGCAGCAGCCCAAATAGGAATGAGGGAGAATAGCGGAATTGAAATGGACAATGCAATAGTTGCAAGGTCCGGAGTAAGTCCGGAAAGTCCGAACTCCGAGGTTAAACTCCGGAATATTGGCAAACGTAATTAAATGGAATGAGCTAACCAATACAATGGGTATAAGCGGAGGTGGGGTCAAAGTCTGAGGTTGGAGCTAAGACCGGAGGTTCCGGAGATGGAGACGCAAACAGGATTCCGGAGCGGAGGTCCAGAGTCAGGGGCATAGGTGTTGCGTGCTCATCTGGGAGGTGTCGAGGTTGAGGTCGGACCCGGAATGTTCCGGAGTCGGACCGAAGGTGGTGTTGGAGCCAGAGGTGGGATAACCTCTTAGAGGTCGGCAAGGAGGAGGTGGCAGAAGGGAAGTAGGACTCTGGAAGTTAGGTTCGGAGTTCCAGGAGCCCGGAGCGGAGGTCGGGATTGTACGGATATGACACCAGCCACTGATGATGCCGAGCCCATCCCTCATGTAGCTATCACACAGCTAGCCCAGGCCATCGCCAGTTTGGCTCGTCACACCAGATGCCCACCTCCTCCACCATCCTCCGCTCTCCGGACCAAGGTCCGTGAGCCCAAACAGTTCAATGGAAAAGATCCCCATGAACTCCGAGTATTCCTGGTCCAGTGCAAACTGAACTTCCAGGACCACCCCCTTGCTTTTGCTAGCGACTGTGCCAAGGCCATCTTCACACAGTCCTACCTTAAGGGGATGGCTCTTGATTGGTTCAAGCCAGACCTGCTGTTCGACCAAAATTCTTTGCTTCGTCCTCATTGGATGAATAACTACCAGGAGTTTGTCAATGAACTTCAGACCAACTTCGGTCCTCAGGATCCTGTGGGTGATGCCGAAGTCCAACTTATGACCCTGGATATGAAGGACAGGCACCATATCAACAAGTACATCATCGAGTTCAATCGACATGCTTCTCAACTTCACAGTTACGGAGAAGCTGTGCTCCGCCGTTTCTTCTATGATGGATTGCCGGAACGTATCAAAGATGACATTGCCAGGGTAGGGAAACCTTCTATCCTTTCGGAACTTCGCACCTTATCACAGACTTTTGATGCATGCTATTGGGAGTGTAAATCCAAAGTAACTTGTCACGCAAAACCCTCCACCTCCAATGTCTTCGACAAGACCACTACCACTTCCCACTCTGACCCTGTCCCCTCCTCCTTGTTCAACTCCGCTTCCAGTAGCAAGCCTCTGAAGGACAATAAGAAGTCCAAGGCCAGCTCTGCTAAGCTGGATCTTTCATCAAAACTCGGAGACAATGGCAAGCTCATGCCACAAGAGCGTAAGCATCATCTCGATGAGAAACTTTGCATGTTCTGCAGACAGTCTGGCCATATGGTCAAGGACTGCCCTAAGTCTTCTTCTTGCACATCTAAGGCCCACACGGCCCAGACTGAGGAGCAAGGATCCATTTCTGCAGAGGCAAAAAATTAGTCTGCACCCCTGTGGACTCTGCACGGACCAGGGGTTGCAATTCTTCCCTCCGTGCACTCAAAGAAGTATGCCTAAACGCGTCTTCCATTTCTGACTTGTCCTCCCTCCACGTCCCCATTTCTTTTTCTCTTTCTGATGGTCTATTTTCTCCTTTTAATGTTGACCCTTCGGTTGATGTTCTACCTGTCAAAAACCCTGAAAGAGGGCATGAGTCCGAATGCAGGCAGGGCTCAACTAGAGGGGTTCCAAGAACTCTGGTAGTGGACTGAAGCTTCTCCAGGAAGCCCGAGTCTGCTGGGTGGTACAAGAGGCTCTAGGAAGGATGTGGCCTCAGCGACTCAGAGGGAGTGCTGTGCCTCCATTATGTCTCAGTTAGTCCTTTTATTTCATGTGTCTGAGGTATCTTGTAGGAGGAGGTCAGGATTCACTCATAGAGGGACTTGGGGTAACTTTTAGTCGAGATTAGAACTGAGGTACAATGGGTTCTAATCTACAAGTATTTATATATGGAGGAAGGAGAAGGACTTTAGTCAAAGTCTGAGTGATAATGGAAAACACCGAAAGGTGCCAAATGATACCAGGAGGTACCGAAAGGTCCCAAACAATATCCTTAATGGGGAACTGAGGTGTTGGGTCGAGGAGGGTGGAGTAGAAGGCCGGAGGATAAATGGGAATGAGAAATGGGTGAGAGGAGGTCAGCTGACTGAATGGGAAGAAGACAACAGTCGTACTACAAATGGGAGGTGACTAATTTATGATGATGTGAGCGGGATCACTGGAGGATGTGGGTAGCTCCGAAGCCGGAGTTACATATCCAAAGGATGTTGGGTGACTCCAATAAATGAAATGGGAGGGGGAATGGTTTAGAGGTATGTCATGGGATGTCAGAGATCCATCGGGAGGTCAGAGCAAATCCGGAGTCTCTGAATGTTCTGACTCGGGACTGAGCTTCCGGGAT